CTGAACGTTTGCCACCTCTTTTGGTGGGAAAATCAAGGAGCAAACAGCAAATGTCACTGTTATCGTTCTTCAGTCGACCTTGGCGGGACATACCAAATCAATAGTAAAGCACTTCTGAACAACAATATCCGTCATTTTCGATTTACTATTCACTAATGAGAGAGAAAGAGCTCAGTTTACTTTAGAGTTTGTAAAGCAGGTACATCTGGGAGAGCTTCATTTCAAATTTAACGGTTACGACGCGTGAATGAGGCCCACTTCTCTATTTGGCCGCCCTTGTCGCGCGAGAGATTCTATCTATCTATTGCCATCCGACAACGCAATCTGCAACAACCCAGTAAGAAAAGTTTTGTGCTAGTTTGAATATTAGTTTAAAGCTGTAAAATATGCGTTTTCTGAAGGTGCAGACAGTAATCATTGATTCGAATGGGAAAAAAGGTGTACAGTACTGCACCCCGTTTTCGCGCCCTTGGATCTTTGATAAACTTCCAGATGTGATGATTCTTAAATCCATTAAAAAGGACAAAAAAGGATAGGCAAAAATAAGATTTATTTGCAAATCCTATATGGTCCACCCCCGCGAAAGCGGGGTGCAGTACTGTACTATTACTATAACAATTAACCTTCTGTAAATTTGAAACATCCGTGGATGGCAACTTGAAGCAAATCTTCCGGATAAAAATAAATACGGTACTTCAAGTTACTTCGCCTCAAGTTGCCAACTTGAGGCGAGCTTCCCTGTCGCAAGTGCTGTATATATTTCCACCAGATCGCCTCGATACTTCAAAATAAAATTAGATTGCGGAAAACCTTATATTCCCATGTTGCAGACATAATTTATCTACTACTGGAGACCAGTTCGAAGATGCATTAATTAACATATTTCACGATGTTGGTCTAAATGAATAAAACTCTAGACGCGACAGAGCAGTAGCGGTTCTTCTTTAGCTTACCACTTGTCTTTGCTGGCCACACGATACCGTAGGAGAGCCGAAGCAAGTTAGCGTCGATACTTCCAGAAAGAAAAACAATCAGACCGCTCAACATTCAGCTAGCACAAATTGTAAGCTGAATTGAGCGAGATAGCATCGGCTGCCCGTGCCTAAAGGTAATGTACTACCTCCGCTCTGAAAAAGATAACCATTTCAAATTATATTACAGCCTACCCAACAAAATACCCTCTCTATGCCGATCTTTTTGGATTTCGAATCTCCCGCGCTTTCCCAACCCCCCTCCCAGCTTTCATTTTGTAAGCTGGCACCTGGGGGAGATCACAGACAGTGAGCGCCAGGCCGTCTGGGAGACCTTACTGCTTCGCAGCGTGGGAGAAGTGGTCAAACATGGAGAGATCGTTCGGGTTGCAGCGTACTTCCGTGTGGGCCGCCAAGTTGTCGAACGAATTTGGAGGCGTGGAATCAATTCGATGGGAGATCGAGTAGCAGCCGTGGT